TTTTTTGATATTTTTGCTTTTTTTTTTTTGATATTTTTACCTTTTTTTTTTTTTTAATTTTACATTTTATAATTTTGATTATTAGAATAATTGTATATGAAAAAAATATGTGGAAGTATGTTTGTAAAGGTAAATATGGGTATATATGCACGCATACACATACATGCACGAATATATTTCAAACTTTTTTTTCGATTTTTTTTTTTTTTTTTTCTTTCAGTTTGTGGATTTTTTTGGTAATTGCAAATTTAAAAAAAATTCAATTTTTCAATAATGTATTATAACTAAGTAGAAATATGTTTGAAATATATATGCATGAATACATTTTTTCATTATTTTTATAGTTTTAAAATTTAGTTTTTTGTTGGTTTTTTTTTTGTTTTTTTTTTTGTTTTTTTTTGTTGTTTTTTTTTTTTTTTTTGTTTGTTTGTGTAGATTTTACAATATTGATTGTTTGAATAATTGCAAATATATAAATATGTATATAAATAAAAATTGTAAAAGTATACATGCATGAAAAAGGTACTTTAAATTTTAGAATTTTTAGTGTTGAAATATTTGCAAATATTACAAAAAATCAATTTGGCGAAATTGATTACCTTTAAGTGGGAATATGTTTGTAAATGTGTAAGTGTATACCTACATATGTATATACGTGCGTGAATAAATATATATATATTTAAGTGTATGTATGTTTGTATAAATCAGCACGTAGATATATATGTAGGTATACGAATTCCCATGCCATGCATGTATGTATATTGTTGCGTGCATGCATGTGTGTGTTGCAGGTACCTAACATATTTATTCGTATGTATGTGCATCGAAATGTACATGAGGACATGTATATGTGTGTGTGTGGAATGTGTGTGAAAATATTATATATACGTTATGTTTGTACATTTCGTAAGGCACTTCAAACGTGATATGTATGTATTTGTGATTATGTTAATTGTGTGTATATCGATATGCATATCGATAGATTGCAGTACGCGCGCTGCTGCCAATAAGTATTTGTATGGGATTGTGATCAATGGAAAACTAATTGAGTTTCCTTTGGCAATTACAGCACCTTCCGCCCAGCCGGGACGAGGGACATGGCCGATGTGGTTCCGTGGAAGCGTGAGTGCATGTGGGCTTGACAATGGGAGGCTTTGGTTTGCGAATTTTCTGAGGGCGCTCAACTTTCTTTTCATGCTTCTGAACCATATTGGCGACTATCTCACTGTGTCGAGCGTGCAGGTCAACCCACTGGAGTCTGGCACGCCGCAGTGTCTTTTGATCAAAAATTTCCGTGGCCAGCTTGATGCCGGCGGCCTTTAAGTCCCTATGCATAGCGTCGATGTCCTCTTTATTACCCCGGACTTTAAAGAACCAGACGCCGCCACAGGGCTTGTCACCAAGTGGTATCGAGCACATTTTCACCGTGTACGGGAATGGAATTCTCTTCGGTCTCTCGTCACCGTAGATGAGAGGCATCGTTGAGCGATCATCTTCACTGTTGACGCAGGGCGTCGTTGAGCGATCATCTTCACTGTTGACGCAGGGCGTCGTTGAGCGATCATCTTCACTGTTGACAAAGGGCGTCGTTGAGCGATCATCTTCACTGTTGACAAAGGGCGTCGTTGAGCGATTATCTTCATCGGTCTCGTCCTCCAACGGCGACAATACCGATTCATCGTCGAATTCGTAGGTTTCGAGATCGGGATCATATTCGAATTCGTATTCGTATTCGTAGTCTTCCAGCTCATCATAATCTAGATATTCCTCCTTGAGGTATTCTTCTGACTCTTCACCCACTGGTTCCTCACCACCTGCTGCCTCATCAAGCTCCAGCATTCCTCCTGCTGCCTCATCAAGCTCCAGCATTCCTCCTGCTGCCTCCTCCAACGCGGGCTCCTCATCTTCTGGCTCCTCATCTTCTGGCTCCTCATCTTCTGGCTCCTCATCTTCTGACTCCTCGATCTCGTTGAGCCTGGGCAATGCCTGCACTCTGTCGCTAACCACCTCAACGTCCTCTTCCAGCGTATTAGTAGGTGGTGTCGGCCGAACAAAGCTCATCATATAGGTCTCCTTGGGAAACAAATACCTCTTCGGCGTCTTCTTGTCCATCCACTGGCCAACGAAGATCGGCGGTACTGTCAGAACGTTGCGCTCTACATCCGGCGGAGCATCTCTTAGCAACAGCATGAACAGGATACGCGACACGCTGTCGGGCCCAAACACACAGCCGGCAACAAAGCCGGGCGGCAAGTAGCGTTCCGGTAGATGAACTGGTCGCCTCATGACCATGTTGGCTTCTTGGGAGAAATATCTGGCTGGTAACTCAATCGTGGGCGTTCTCTCGGTCAGCGCGGCGCGGGCCACACTCGGCACGTGCGGATGAATGTAGTCGGATAGGATGGTGATGCACAGCGGCGTCGAATAGTGCGTCATCATTGGCACGGCGCTCAGGTCGGGCACGTAGAGTGTAGATACGTTCGTAAACGGGACAGTGCGACGCAAGGTGGTCGGCGGATCAGAGTGCGTAAGAATGTAGCCAAGGCACAGCTCCGGAGCCAGATAGTTGGTGGGTATGGGCAACGATGGCACCATAGCGGTGGCGCCTGCAGGCGTCAGAGGCTTTAGTAGACTCTGGACTGGCACACGGCGACAGCCCACGAACAGCGGAGGCGTCATTCCACTGTAGCGCGCGCCCAGCAGCCTGCATGGATAGTACTTGCGGCTCAGCACGCCGGTCGGAAAAATGCCGCCAGCCTCGAAGCCCATCGGCAGCAAATCCACTGGCAAATACGTAATCTTATGCAGCGGAGCGTTGCGCGGAAACATCTTGGCCGGTATCTCGAACACCGGACAAGGCAGCTCCTCCGACTTCTTGGCAGCCTCCGCATCATGAAGATGCTCCTTCGGCGACAGCGTGCACATCGCAATCCCATTTGCCTCGATGTAGCCCTTGCTAAGGGTTAGCTTCGTCAGGTTTGGCAAATAGCGTGGATCCTTGTTGAACACAAACGGAGACTGGCCGTTCTTGCTTTTTTTCTTATTTTTGGCTGTTGTTGACAAATAAAAAATATATATACATATCTATATTTATTTTTTCAATATATAAAAATTAAAAATTAATAAAACAAACAAAAATTGAAAACTTAAAAAACAACAATTTAACGAATTTTTGCTAAACGAAATACAATTTGCTTAAAAATGGCAACAAATTTAATGCATAAATCACATTCAAATTTATAAAAAAAAAAAAAAAAAAATTTTGTTTTAGTTTTAAAAAATATTTACTGCTCCCAAAAAAAAAAAAAAAAAAAAAAAAAAAAATGTATACAACAACGCCTAAATAAATAATAATAATCCAAAACAATTTTCTAAAAAATCTGCGAGAATTTAATTTCTATTCATATTTCATTTAATTTTGAATTTGTATTTAAAAATGCATTTTGAAGCTATATACATATATGTATGTATATACATATATATATATAATTAATAATATATGTATGTACATATATGTACTTACATACATATAATATTAATTGTGAAAAAAAAGAAAAAAATACAAATATATACATATATATATACCTATGTACCTATATATTACAGCGTAATATTTATATAAATAATAAATTATACATACAAAAAAAAACTAACCATCAAATATTGGCATAAAATAGAAAAAGCAAACACAAATAGAAATACATACACGCACACATAGAGAAATTCAAGCGAAAAATTTGCAAAACGTTTACATGTATGTACATCTATGTATGTATGCGTGCATGTATGTATGTGTATATGTAAATGAAAATGTCTACAACGTTCAGTTGAAGGTGCTCCCGTTGGGAGATGAACAAGAAGAAGAAGAAGAAGAAAAAGTAAGGCAATTTTTGAATTTAATGCTATTTGCCATGATTTTCACAATTTATCACTTGCCTGATGTTGGGGCGGCTATCCCCACGTGCGACGAGCCAGCAGCATTGGTCTCCTGCGCAGCCGCAGCCGCAGCTGCTCCGGCAGCTCCTTCCACGTCCGAATCCATTTTCAAAATGCGTCGAGCAAAATCTGTGGAATTCTTTTTTAGTTTTTTTTTTTTTTTTTTGTTTTTTTGACAGCACAAAGCACGCTCTTTGCCTTGTCAGTGCTGCCCATGCACGAATGCGAGTCGATTTCAGCTTTTCTTTGGAATTTCACAGCACTAGATCAGGCGCCAAAATAAACAATTTGCTTTAAATTGACATATTTACACAAATTTTTGACATTAAATCGACAAATTTGGAATTTTGAGTGCCAGCTGCGCGCCGGAGTGGCAATCGAGCATGTGAGAGAGCCTAGGGTATGTCATAGCCAATCATTCCTCGATGATATCGTAATTAGTTTACCGTGTTTCTTGCAGACTGGCAGAGGGCGCGGCGAGCGGCCGTCTGATATTTATACTAGGTGCACAACTGATACTGCTGATTCTGGAACTATTGGACGCTACTCAGCTCAGCTTTTACTCTCGGTTGGTGGCCCACACGCATTGGGAAAGGCTCAAACGCTTCTTGCCAACAATGGCCAACAGTTATTGATCGACGTCGGCCTCAATGTTGACGTTAGTTGAGCCCGCTTCTGATGTTTCCCTGAAGTAGAGCCGACATTTGTTGGTGTTGTTCACTCGATATTCCTGGAACATGACCAACATAGACTTACGCCTCTTCCACATTCCTTTCTAGGCACTGCAAAGAGCTGAAGCCTTGGCCAGACGTAGCAAAGGCTTGCAATACTGGAGCGTAACCTACTTGATCTTAAGCAAGCCAAGCCAAGCACCGCCTACACATACCGCCCCACACACCCACTTACACATTGGCAGACCTCATCAGCAGTCATCAGCTGTGAAGATGGCAAGAGGAAACGCAGCGAGGCCGTAGGACTCGCAATGATCTGCGGCCAGCCCCGCCGCCCTCTGCAATCCACATCAGCTGCCATGCAGCAGAGCTGTTCGAGAGTCGTCAGAGATCTAGGTAGGCACATGTACATGGCTCAAGCTCGATCCAGCTAGCCTTTGCCAGAGAGATCAGTAAGAATTGTAGTTAAATTTAGGTGTGCAAACAATTTTCAGAAGCAACAACTAAGTGAAATACCAGACATCACTACACGTGCATACACACAGACACCCACGCTTATAGCATACGAATTGGCAATGGATGTGGCCAAAACGGGCATGGGTAGCACTGGTGCTGCTGGCCCAGGTCGGCGGCGTCGAGCCGCAGCAGTCACAACGGCCGCAGCGCCGCTCAAGAAGGCGAAAGCTCAGACCAAACCGTTGGAGCTGCTCGTGGTTGGACAGCAGCTGACGATGCAACCCATGTTCAAGCGCACCACCAAGCCGATGGCAGCGGCTGCCGCACCAGCAGCAGAGGCAGAGGCAGCAGCAGCCGCACCAGCGGAAGCTCCTCGGGTCAACTCCCAGTCTGATCCGGCTGTGGCAGAGCAGCTGCTGGAGGATGGCGACTATATGTACGTCTACAGGGCTCATCGGTTCGAGCTGTGGAGCGAACCGGCGCAGCTGGTCATGCCGCAGGAGTCGCTGGCATGGCTGGCCAAGCAGCAGCAGCAACTGCTGCGCTTGCAAGAGCAACAACTGCTGCACTTGCAACAGCGGCAACAGCAGCAGCAGCAACAACTGCACTTGCAACAGCAACAAGAGCAGCAGCAACTGTTGCACTTGCAACAGCAGCAACAGCAACAACCGCAGCATGAACAGCAACAGCAACATCAGCAGAATCAACAGCAACAAGAGCAGCAGCAGCCAGTACTGCACTTGCAACAGCAGCAACAGCAACAACAGCAACTAGAGCAACAGCAACAACAGCAGCAACAGCAGCAACAACAGCAGCAGCAGCAACAAGAGCAGCAGCAGCCACTACTGCACTTGCAACAGCAACAACAGCAGCAACAGCAACAACAGCAGCAACAGCAACAAGAGCAGCAGCAGCCACTACTGCACTTGCAACAGCAGCAACAGCAACAAGAGCAGCAGCAGCCACTACTGCACTTGCAACAACATCAACAACAACAACATCAACAACAACAGGAACAAGAGCAACAGCAGCAGCTACAACTGCTGTATTTGCAACAGCAACAAGAGCAGCAGCAGCAACTACTGCACTTGCAACAGCAACAGAAACAAGAGCAGCAGCAACACCAACAGCAGGAGCCACAGCAGCAAGAGAAACAACAGCAGCAACAGCGCCTGCCAATTGTCCAGCAGGTGCTCGACGCCCGCTTCCTGGCCGAACTCTTCGATGAGCTGCTCCTCTACGCTGAGTGATCATTGTGCCTCCTGCTCTCTAGTTTCTCTTGTGCATAGATTATGCATATTTATGTAAAACTCTTCCTTTCTAGTGCGAATATACTAAATCCAGAGTACTCTATCCAAATATGTATGTTTATATGTATATGTGTATGTATATAGGATATGCATATTAGCCATGGGTAACAGCTGCTGCCCCTGCAGCAGAGCAGCAGGCAGCAACGGCTCGTATCAATTCCCAGTGTGGGTAGCCTGTGGCAGAGCAGCTGCTGGAAGTGGGGGGGCTATCCAGCTTGCAACCGACGTAGCTGGACACGCCGCAGGAGTCGCTGCCATAGCTGACCAAGCAGCAGCAACTACTGCACTTGCAACAGCAGCAACTGCTGCACTTGCAATAGCCGCAGTATGAACAGCAACAGCAACAGGAGCAGCAGCAACTGTTGCACTTGCAACAGCAGCAGCTGCTGCACTTGCAATAGCCGCAGTATGAACAGCAGCAGCAACAGGAGCAGCAGC